TTGTTGTGAAGAAAGACACAGAGAAAGAAAGAAAAAGGAGAAAAATGAGAATATTCCCCCTTGCGGTGATAGCCACTCCTCAATCCCTTCTCCTTCACTCTCCTCTTAAGATTTTGGGCACACACACACACATGCCCAGCATGATTTTCAACCTGGCGGGTCTGACACTTGAACTGCCAATCATGTGAGATCCAGGGGCCTAAATTACACCATGCCACCTGTTCTCTTGAGAACATGCTTTTCTATATTCCTGAATGTTCCATCCTGCTCCCAGGCCAAAATCTCCTTGTAAATTAGGTTCTCAGAGGACTTCTTTGCTAGGATAGATGGACATTTGACTTCTACCAGAATAATCTTTCGATGTGCAGGTGACTCTTATGGCTAAAGAAAGCGATTAGCTTTTCCTCCACCCCACCCCCAATAAAAAAATATGAAAAGCTAAGACTCCAAATATGAGCACATGGAACCCTGGGCAGGGTGAAGAATGCATGAATAATACTGACCCCCCTCAAAGATGATGCAGGGACTCTGAAATCAAACAGAACCCACTGAGCAAAGAATCCTAGAATTGTGTACCACCAAGTCTTGCAAATACTTCTGAATCCAGATTTATCAAACCTTACCCATCTCATCTAGCCATCCTTATAGTACAGAAAGCTCATTTAGCAGACTACCATCTTATCCGGGATCCATGGGTCATAATGAAGTGATTAAAGAGTGTCTCCTGTGGCATCTGATCCATAGAATCTGCTCACCAATATCCTGGGAGACTATGGGTGGTTTCTTGTGCAGGACTGAACAGTTTTATTTCTCTCTATACCAGTGACAGAAGAATCTCAAGCTGTTATTGCTTTCCAGTGACAGAACCCAGATAACCAAATGATCGAGCTCTTCTGTTAAAAGCCAGCCTCACCATGACAAGTGCTGTGGATTACTATTAAGAGTCTAAACTGTCTGACTGAATGTGGATACGGTATTTCTGTAAAGGGCCCAAATAAGTAAGCAACAGGTGATGTACTAAGTTTCTCCCCGGGATCATATTATTCCCAAAGCTCTCTAAAGCATCTCATTGAGGCACATACATAATAGAACGCATTATTGAAGAGATGTCACTTTGCAATGGATTTGGAATTTCATCAATATGTATCTGGGAGGCCTATGTTGCAAAGTTTTAGCTTTTCTACAGGGAGTGCATGCTTGCTAGAGACAGATGGCTGCAGATACAGAGAAGGAAGGTGAGGAATAACACACCAGGAGACACAGATACCCCCAAACCCTTCTCCTCTGCTCTCAGGATTTCAGCACACACACCTGCACACAGTGGTTCTCAGGCCACCTACCAGTTTTTATAGACGCAGTTTCAGAATGGTGGAAGCATATCCCATGCAGACTGAGAAGGCATCAGAAAGAAATAATTCCATGATTTGGATGATCAAACAGCCTTAGAGTAATAGTGGGCCTACATTAATCTCCCACTTGACACAACAGGTATCCCAACATTGTTTATTATGGAAATTTGATTCTTCACAGAGACTGCAATCAACAGGAAAGCTGAGAACATCGCACATGCTCTGAAAAGGAGAATGCAAAAAAAGGTTAAAATATATATATATATATATTAACTGGGTTGGGGTGCTGCTTGTGACTTGGTTGTGCATTAGGGTCATTCTCTGAGGCAGGCTTGTTTTACGCTCTTGTGAAATTTTATATGGAAAGCCATTCAAGGTCTCCACCCAAACTGGGGATCAGTTGATGCCTTGGGCACTGTAGCACTGGCCAAATATGTTAAAGTTTTAGATAGTATACTAACTTCATGGTTTTTCCTCTAACAGATCCACTCATCCCACTGACATGGTCTGAACCCCATGACCCAGGGAGGTCAAGTCTTCTTAAAGATGTTGACAAAACAAGGACCCGAACAGGAGATTGCTGCAGAATGGATGAGGCCATTTGAAGAATGGAGGACACTCATTTATCAGTCAAACTGCCTGGAGTGAAATCGTGGGCACATCACACCCAAGTCAAGACAACTCACTTATTACATAAACCACACGATCTCTGCTGGAGGGACCATGGACTTCCCAGTCTCTTAAGCACCTGAAATGGCTTTTGTAAAACAAGACAAAAGATGCTAAGTACCACATGTCCATCTTTCATTCTTTACGTTGAATTCTCCCTTTGAAACTTCACATGGGATGTGGGAAGAAGTCCTCAAATGGTATCTGAGAGTTTACAGCCTCTTGAGCTACTTCAAGTCATTGTCGGATCTGTCACCTGGACCCCTTTCAGTGTATGACATAGGTATCCCTTCTTTTGCACTCTTCATAATTTTCCCAGTGATCCCAATTTTTGGTTTAAGAAGTCCCACATTACCAGGGGAGTAGTATACCAGGTCTGAGTAGTATATATGATAAATGTGATTAAAGAGTGTCCAAGTTTTTCTTTAGTTTATGCAGGAGTAGGAATTACAGACCCTTTTTGTTTGCTTTTGTTTTTGTTTTTTATTTATTTGTTTTAGTTTTTGTTGCAGGGCACATGTGCTCGCCAGAGAGAGACAAAGGGAAAGAAATCACTCTCACGGAATATGGCTGCTCTGCAATCCCATCTGTTCCCGTCTCCTCTTGGGATTTGGGGCATACCTGCATAAGTGCACAGCACGCTTTACAAGCCACCTAGTCTGGGATTCAAACTGTGCGGCAGGCCATGTGGAATTCAGCTTCTTAAACTCCACACCACCGGCTGGCCCAAGACCATGGCATTGGCAGGGGGTAGGGGGTAACATGCCAGTACACACTACAGGACCCCAGGACAAAACAAGAGATAGATACTTCTTTGACAATTTGTCAGGGTGCCACTGATCAACAGGATTACAAATAGATGCTCTTCAAATGTACTTACTCCTCAAATGGTCTTATGGGATGTTTCCTGGACAGTTTCATATTCATATGTGGTCAATCAAATGTACCCTGGGCAGTAATTGCTAAGGAATTCGACAAAGAACAACGTTTATTGGGATTTCTCACACATGTTTTCCAGACAATGGAACTGTCCACTGGATGAGTGCCCTTAAGTGGATTGGGGGGGGGGGTGACATGCTAGTACAAACAAAAGAGACAGAAACAAGAGATAGACACTTCATTGAGAATTTGTCAGGGTGCCACTGATCTACAGGATTGCAAATAGCTGCCCTTCAAATATACTCCTCAAATGGTCTTCTGGGATATGTCCTGGACAGTTTCATATTCATATGTGGTCAAGCAAATGTACCCTGGGCAATAATTGCTAAGGAATTAGACAAATCAAGAACAATGTTTATTGGGATTTCTCACACATGTTTTCCAGTCAATAGAACTGTGCACTGGATGAGCGCCCTTAAGCTGTTCTTCCGTGTTACTCAGAACATGCCCAGTGGAATACCAGATGGAGACAGTTATTTCCTGGGTTATCCCTCTGTTCCTGGGTATGTTGGCACATCAACATGTACTTAGAAATCTATCTGAACATTAAGGGTCATTGCTAACCCACCTGCTGTGGCTCTTGCCAGGTTACAGGAATCCTCAGATTCCCTTGTTCACGTTGTCTTGGTAACTGCATTGCCTTAGATTATGTGCACCTGAGCTGCGTGGATTTGGCATGGCTGCCATACCACTTCTCGTACACATCTCCATTCTTCTCCCAAAGCAGAAACTCGTGTTGACAAAATCAGACAAGTCCTGAGTCTCCAACACACTTTAGAACTGAAGTGGTTTGTGGCTTGGTTTACCAATTTTTTTTTTTTGTGGACTTATGAATGGGTTTGTTGGATTCTAAGAATATTCCTAGTCCCCCTGCATTTTTCATAGTTAGTTGCATTTTTACATAGTTGCATGCTGCATATCAAAAGGCTGGTTAAAGTGTGACTACAAATGTGAGGAGAAAAAGAGACATGCCCATGATCAACCCTAAAGTCACCTGCCTAAGAGGGGTGCTAAGGAAGACTATATAAATCAAGTCAAACGGTTTCATTTAGAATTGCCCCTAATTGACCCTATTCTGCAGGAAGTAGCCAGATGATAGATGGCATCCCTTTGTCCCTGCTCCCACCAAACTGCAAAATGAACCTTTGACGATGGGGAATTGCGACAGAGTGAGGTGATGGTCTTTGTGACTACATCTTTACTTCTCAAGCTGGCCTTTGAACCGTGACTTTAGGTTAAGGATTTGCTTAACTTTCCACGTAGTGATAGATATTAGTCATTAAAGGAGTTCTGGTGAAACATGAAACTGCCTCCCTGAAAAGATGAAAGAAGTATGTGCAAGAAACAACAATGGTTTCTGTAAGACTGATAGGAACATCACAACCAGACTCCCAGAAAGAGAGTCAGGAGAGCAAAAATGAAGTTTCACAGCCGTCTTCAGACCCTCACTGGTGCCTTGTAGTCTGCGCTCACTGGTCACCTCCTGACCTCCCTCTGCTCCATTTCCCCTCCTTCCCGTAAGTAAACATAGACTGCCTTCTCCTGTCTCCTAAGATGGACCCAAGTCCACCATGTTTTTAGTTTGCTGGATTTCTAAATAAAATCACTGTATTTGTCCCAACACCTTTTCTGTTGAGTTATCTGCTATGGTGCGGGAGACATAGGAGCTTGGACCGAGCAACACTAACTCAAGAAAACAAAGTAGCTCTTATTCTGTCTCCTCAGGTGAGGGTATTTTCCGCCCCCTTGCCCAGGTGCTCTGGTCCTGACTCAAATGGAGACTGAGGAGTGAGGCTGGGGGAGCCTTTCCTAGTCTTCCAAGTTCCCACCTGCAGGGCCCCAGTGAGCACAAAGCAGAGAGCACAGGGCAGAGCTTCAGAGTCTGGTTTCTCAGATGAGAGCCCTGAATGGACCTTCAGGGACAGGTCACAGCACCCCTTACTGTCTCAGAGCCCAGATACATTCTTGACTGGGAGGAATGTTCACTTATTTATACTGCTATTTTTTTAATAATTACTTTTTAAAATCCCTCCTTCCACAGCCCTCCCTGTCATAAAACTGCCCCGATTTTGTCATCTCCTGTCAATATTGTACATTGATAGAACTGTAAAGGCAATACGGACAAACGACAGTTCTGTGTGGTGCACGCTTCTCTGAGTCTTTCCACACACGTGATGTCCTGTGTCCATACACAGAAGGAACTCACTGCCCTGTGGCTTCCCTTGCTGTGTGTGCTTCACCCCTTCCTGACACAGGAGCTCTGGACACCCACTGACACTTCACTGTCACAGCTGGACTTTACAGTACATGCTCCCTTTATATTGCCACCTTAAACTAGAAATGTACATGTATCCGGCCTACATGCAATTTTTCTGTCTGAATAGTGCATTCATTTTTTTTATTTTTATTGTTTTCAATTTGCCATAGGATTCATGCACTCACCAGAGAGGGAGACAGAGAGAGAGAGAGAGAGACAGACAGAAGAACTGCTATCTCACTGTTCTGGGGGCATAGCCAGGCCACAGTCCCTTCTCCTCCATTCTCCCCTTGAGATTCTGGAACAAATGCACAAGTGCTCAGTATGGTTTCAAACTTGATCTACACACTCAGCCATTTGGGATCCAGCCCCACTGGCTGGCCCAGTTCATTTATTTATAACCCCAAAATGATACTTCATTGTATGGAAGTACCACAGTTTATCCTTTTATTCAAGTATGTTATGGTTGCTTACATGATTTAGCAATTACGAATAATACTGCTATATGCATTAGTGTGCACATTCTGTGTAGATACGTAGTTTCAACTTATTTTTAAGAATACTTATGTGGGGACCAGCAGTTGGCATAATAGCTATGTCGCTGGACTCCCATGTAGTTGAGTGTGGTTCGAGCCTGGACCCGGTGACTTAAACTCACATGGGGCGCGTGTGTGTGCATGCCCAAGATCACGAGGGGAGAATAGAGGAGAAGGGATTGCAGTGTGGCCATTCCCCCTGGGGGATGACTTCTTGCTTTCTGTCTCTCTGTCTTTCTGGAGAGTGAATGTGCCCTATAGCAGAAAACTATCAAAAAAAATAAAAGAAAAAGAAGAAAAAAAAAGAATATTTATGTGCTTGCTGGATGGCATGAAACGAGAAGTCTTTGCTTGGTGAGTGATGCCAGTCTGTCTTCCCGGATAGCTGACAGCATTCTGCATTGTCACCAGCCAGAACAATAGTTGCTCTGTCTAGTTTATCCCTGTTTCTACTGTTGCTCATGTGTTCAACAGGGGTGGTAAAAGTCAGGTGCTTGGGGAACCAGCAGTTAGCGTAATGGCTATGTCTCTGGACTCCCACGTAGTCAACCGCGGCTCGCGTCCTGGACCCAGTGGCTTAAAACTCACGCCGGGCGCGTGTGCGTGCGTGCCCAAGATCCCTAGAGGAGAATGGAGGAGAAGGGATTGCAGCGTGAGCATCCCCCCCTGGGGGGGGTGATTCCTCGCTTTCTCTCTCTCTATGTCTCTCTCTGTCTGGCAAGCGCATGTGCCCTATAGCGAAAATCTCTAAAAATAAATAAATAAATAAATAAGTCAAGTGCTTGGAAATCATGCCAAGTGCATGTGCATGTGTGCCCAAAATCCTGAGAGTGGAGGAGAAAGGATTGCAGCATGGCCATTCCCCTTGAGGGGTGATTTCTCACTTTCTCTCTCTCACTGTCTGTCTCTCTTTGGTGAGTGTACATGTCCTATAGCAAAAAAGAAAAAAATTTAACAAGTCAGAGGCCCCAGAACATATTTTGGTAACCTTTTTAATCCCAACTCTAGATACTTACATGACTTTCCTAATTCATCTAATCCACCACATCTCTGCTTTACTCCCTCATCTAGACAGTCACTTACTGATAGTAGACTAGAAATCTTTTATTCAGGAAATTCCCAGAGAACAAACCCTGCAGAGATTAGCACAGCAACCTTTAACTGTCCCCTGCAGCCTCCTAGAACCTTCAGTGTTCATTACCTCAGACACTTCCTGAGTCCCTATAAAAGATGATCGTGTAATGTCTAATGATAGCTTACTATCATTAGATAGTAATGATTAGAGTGGAAAGGCCCTGTTGAACACATGAGCAAACTATCTAATGATAGTTTACTAACTGTAATAGCAATATGTCACATATATTTCTTAGCAGATAAATGATTCTA